ACATGAGCTTTGAGAATTTGTTTCTTGGAGTTGTAGAAAGTTTAGAAGATTGGATATGGAGAAAATAATTCTGCTTAGCCTTTCAAGAGTTTAATTAGTGGCTGGGGAGATGGGGAGCAAGGTCTGGAATCCCAGGCGGGAGGTTTATAGCTACAGAGCGGGCAGGGGCAGCCTAAAGGGTGGTCTGGGCCCTTCTTAGATAAGGTCGGCTAGCAGCTAGGAGTCTACTGTAGTTCAAAACCCAGCTCACAGTTCCAGCTACACCTAGTCTTCCCGGATCCCACAATCCCCTTTTCCTCCTCTTAATCAACAAACAGTGCCCATCCCTCCAGGGCTTCCTGTCAGGGTCTGGTGGTCAGCCCAGTCTGAAGCTACTCTCTCTTGTTCCTCAAATAGGGCTCTGCATAAGGAAGTGGGCTGAGGTGACCCTGTCCTGCAAAGGTCCAGCTGGATGATGATGTAACCATCTCCCTCAGCCTTCTTTTTCTAATAACTAGTCATAGCTTCTTGAATCTTAAGATTGCTACATAAGGAAAAAGATTCAAGATACGTTTCAGGAAATATTATTACAATGCAGACATTTGAGACACTAAAATTGTACAATCTCCAACTTACTCCTTAAATACAGCCAGGAAAGATCCTCGCCACCAAGTTTGATGGCCTGGGTTTGATTCCCCAGGACCCACATGGTGGAAGGAGAAAAGCAATTGTGCTCTGACCACCACATGCTGACTATGGCATGTACACACACACACACACACACACACACACACACACACACACACACACCACTCAACACCCCTGAAGGTCTTGAGTCCGTCTTGTTTACACGTCTGCTTTTCCTTCAGCTTCTCATCTTGTTTTTGAACTATCCTATAAATGCAATGATACCCTATTCTCTGATTTGCTTCTTTTCCACACTATGGGTAAAATTTACCTATGTTGTATTACTTGAATACCCCACCTAATACATCGTATAAATTCTCACTTTGTTATTTGGTCTGTTTCCAGTGTTTGGACATTAAATCATTTTGCTAGGAATATTCTCATAGCTATCTCTTGAAACACCTGACAGAAACACCTGAGCGTAGCCGGGCGTTACTCTCGGGTAGACAGATATGTGCAGAATTGCTGAGTCCAGACAGTCTTAATAACCAATGCTGATGCTCTCTCCCATCCCTGACTAGATCCGGGACTCTTATCATTAGACAAGGAGTACACAGCCTTAGCTGTGGGGCACCCACTTCAAGGAGAGGGAATCCTCCTCCAGGTGCAGCCAGGAGTCTATGATGACGTCACAGAACTCACTGTGACGTCACTCCTGAACTCCCGGTGTAGGTACGGAGATGCAGACAGCCCTTCTCAGGTAGGATGGTTCTTTATTTCAACTGCGGTGAGAACGCTGGCATGGACTCGAGGGACTCACCCTGGGCCCTGGGCCCTTTGCAGTTTGGGGCTTCTCAGTTGTACTTTAAGAAGCCTAGAAGGTCACTGTCTCCATGACCTCAGATGTCACAGAACCAATGATGTCCAGGCCCCGGCCACTCTCAGTCTCTATGACGGCCTCCACATTGGTTGTCTCCATCTTGGACACGATGTCCACGTCTTGGCCACGCTGTGATGCCAGGCCTTTGGCAGCCAGGTTGGCTTTGATGTTCCTCAGAAACAAGCCAATTCTGCCAGGCCTCTTACTTGTAGTGGCCGAGCTGGTGGAGGAGAGGGTCCTGCCTGATTTGTGGGAGCTCCGGGACTCCTTCATGATGGGGATATGGCTGACCCCCTTGTGTGACCTGTTACGCTTGCTTCCCCTGGGGTTGCCTTTTTCCTTCTTCTCGTCCAGAGTCGATCTGTGGCTGGATGATTTCCGGACCGCCTTGTCCCCAGCGGTCTTGTGGCGACCTTCCCCTGTCCTGGAGTGATGGGAACCCCGGCTGCCAGCTCTGTCCTTTGCTCTCCGCTCCCTCCTCTCACTCCTCTCCTTGCTGACTTCGGTGTTGGCCTCGGGGGCTTTCTGCTGTCTAGTCTGTCCAGTCGTGCGTCTTTCACTCGGCAACGTTATTGGATCCGTGGCTGTTTCTCCATCAGACTTGCTAGTAGGTTCTATTCTTGCAATTGCCATAGTCAAGCTTTCTTTTCGGGAGAGGCTGGGGGATGCACTGGAAATATACTCCAGGGACTTGCTGGTCGCCCCTGCCAAGGCAACCTTCATGCCTTTCGGTGACATCTTGCCAGCACTTGCAATGGACAAACGGCTTTTGCTTCCTCTTGAACCCATGGACCCGCCCCCTGCTATGGCTGCATTGATCTGTCCAGAGCCTACGGGCCTGGTTGCTACCAAGCTCAAAGCACCCGCTAGGTCACCCACCGCGACTGCTGTCACCCCTGTCGATGACTCTTTGGCAAGGTCTTTTGATTTTGTTTTGGATGTGGATACACCGGGCACGGCCGTGGGTTTTGGGGAGTCATGATGGGTTCCCTCACCACCGGCAAAAGCATCCGAGCTGATCCCAGTAATGTCTGTGACCATGGGGAGGCTTCTGATGCTGACCTGGTCTGGTTCTCCTTTTCCTTGGGGATCGGCCACTGTCGGATTCGACTTGTCTTCTTCATCCAGCAGAGGCATGCACACTATGTCCTCTGCCGGGATGGCGTAGGTGCTGCTGTTGCTGTCCACAGGTGGTCTCAGGAGGTAGATCAACTTTTCCCAGTAGGTGAAGAGGTCATCCCGGCCCTCGAGAGGAGGACACAGCTGCAGGTAGCAGGAACGGCCAGTAGCGAACTTGAGGCGCAGCTGTTGTTTCTCGTGGTTGTGAACAGAGATCCTTACGAACTTCAAAGGAAGGAGCCTGGTGAGCTCTAAGGTCTTTGCAGACTTGCGGTTTTTGCTCTTGGTGGTCTGGCCACGTCCAGGAAAGTCTTCATAGCCCGGGGCTGGTCGGGCCAGTAACATGACATCAGGGAGCGGGAGGATGGGGCTGGTGCACGCGATGCCTACGGTCACCATTCGGACACGGTTGTGCACGTCAATCACTTCTCCCCGTTTGGTGATCTGGATGAAGTCACTCTCGAATATTGGTGCGTACTTGAAAATATCATACTCTCCTTTGTACAGTTGCCGTTGCAGCTTCCCCATGGTGGTGTTGAACATGCCGACGCCGGAGCCACTCTGGGCTGTGTAATATGGTAACAGAGACTCAGTGTTCGAGGTCATGTTGTGTCAAGAAAGGTGCGCCGGCAAGGTGGGTTCCTGCGTCTTCCTTGGTCTCCGCAGACGAGGGAGCAGCAGAGGCCCTGGGTCACTGAGGTGGCACGTTCAGCAGGTCTCTCAACCCCACCCCACAGGCCCCCAGTTTGCCTCAGAGCCTCCCAGAGGCCTGGGCTGGGGGTGGGAGCACAGATGACTGACAAGGGGTGCTGTTGGGTGCCTGGACCCCAAGCCCAATCTCTCCAAAGGTGTAGAGATGCAGGGTAGACTCCAGGGAGGTTTTCTTCTGGGTCTAAAAACCCTCCAACCTCCAGTGGTGATTTTTTTTGAAAGCCCCCTGAATGTCTACAAACTGCAGCCCCAGTGGGAGAAGTGACCACTGGGCCCAAAGCCCTACACAGCCATATTTATCCCCTCTCCCTTTGTGACCTGTCACTGTCACATCCCCCTTTGTCCCATCCTCCGGCTGCCCTCAAGAGGACAGGCCTCCAAGTGGATGCCGAAATGAAAAGGTTTCACATGGAAAACTGTATATGGTACTTCTTTCTCCAGCCCACCCAAAAAGATTCAAAGTCTATGGGAATTCAAGGGACAGGTAGACTTGAAGTAGCTGAGCTATGGTGGCATTTTATTGGATAACCTGGATACTGGTCTTGATCCTTCTGTGATACCTCATTAAATGTGGGTGGTGGTAATCTTTCATGGCGGCTCTGGCCTTTACTAAGATAAAATTACTGCTTGCGCACACTGTGCTCTGTGTGATGTTACTGGATGACCCACCGACGTGCACCATTGGGGCAGAGGCAAGCTCATGAGCCTCAAGCTGAGCCAGAGAGACGGCTCAGCAAGTGAGTTCAGTTCCCAGGACCCACGGTGGGAGGAGAGATCGACTCCCCCCACAAGCTGTCCACTCACCTACAAACGCGTGCTACGGCGCACGCATGTGCCACCCGCTTTGAAACTACATGTAATCTGTAAAAGGCTCAAGCTGAAAACGTGTGTTTTAGGCATATTTATATGTTCAGAGAAACTGATGACTAAAATATTTAGCTATTTGAATTTTCCATAAAAAAAAAAAAATCTATCCTAAGCCAGGCATGATGGAGCAGGCCTTTAAACCCAGCATTCTGGAGGCAGAGGCAGCACTCTGGGAGTTCCAGGCCACCTAGGGGTACATAGGAAGGAGATTCTCTCCAAAACAAAGAAACTATCTGAGTGCCAAACAGTGGTGTGAAGGACACGTGTGGTGGCGTTTCAGGGTTTATTGACAGAAACTGAGCATCAAGGAGCAGACTGAGGCTCAGGGTTAGAAGCCATCAGCCTGGGCCAGGTGTCTATGGGCAACTGCACTCATAGACACACCCCTACACAAACATACATGCACACACATAGACACACCCCTACACAAACATACATGCACACACACACTTAAAAGTAAGTTGAGCTGGAGAGATGGATCAGCAGTCAGCAGTAGTCAGTGCTCTCGGAAAGGATCTGGGTTCCATTCCCAGCACCCACAAGGTGGCTCAGGATCCTCTGCAACTCCAGTTCCAGGGGAATCCAACGCCTTCTTCCGGTCTCCTCAGGCACTGTATGCATGTGGTACACAGACACATGTGCAGGCAAACAACCATACATATTAAAAAACAAACAAACAAAACCCCACTGCCCTACCCAGTGTTCTCCCCATGAACAAAGGAAGCCATCCCCAAACACTCAGTGCTGATCACCCCATAACAGAGAGGCAGAGTCACTATTTTCAAAAGACTTAGTAGAAACCAGCACAACACTTAGGTTTACCATGTCTTATTCTGATATTTATTATGTTGACAGGCTAGGAATACTGGGATAAATAATACTTTCTCTCACAGAAAATTGTAATGATACAATTGAGTAAGATTAAATACTCTGAGGATTTCACAGAAACGTCAGAATTTTAACAGTAGCCAGAGTTCTGGTAGCCAGAGGGAGGGGCCTCCCAGCTGAAATGCTCTGGGCCATATCTCAAAAACAAAAACAATGCCATTATCATCCTACAGTGCAGAAAGAAGCCTGGTCCTGCGCTTGGCTTCAAACACGCTTCTCCACGGGCTGTGGTTTCTGGCCATGAGGAAAGGAAATGGAGTATCTCTGCCTCGTCTAGTCTAGAACTCACTCCTGCCCCGTCACTGAGTGGGAAGGAAGAGTCCTACCCTTTGGAAGTTGGACTTTCTTTGTGCCTTCTTTCTGTGACTGTAACAGTTTGCAGCCAAGGACCTGCTGTCGTGCCCAGGTTCTTCCTCAGCAGTGGGTACAGGGAGAGGAGGCGTCCTCTGTCAACACAAAGTGGCACAGCTGGCCATCAGGCCACTTTCACCCCTCTGGGCCAGGGAAGCTTACGTGGCCACCTGAATGCTTTTGAGGGATACTGTCCATGATGGCAGACTCCCAAAGTCTCAGGAATCAGTTCTGATGAAACTCCCGGGAAAGTCCTGACAGTGTTGTGCAAGACAAACATCCAACCAGCACAAAGCCTGGCTCTGAAGAGAGCGCAGTCATTCTGGGGCGTAGCAGCGTATTTTCTAGAAGCACACCCTGGCCATTGGACAACCTCGATAATGAGCATTCCCGCTCCATATTCCCTAGGAAAGATGGTGTCAGCTGCAGTGGGGGACGTGGTCCCACCCCACCTACTGAGGCAGACACTTCTGCATGAATCCCATTAGTGGGCATCCTGCTTTGCATGGGACCCCAGCCAGGGCCCAGCTAGATCATCTGAGAATGGCCAGGATGGTAAGGCCTAAATCCTGGAGTTAGTGAGACAAGGGATGCTCTTGCTCTGTGCCGCAGTTCACTCCGGGGCAGAATGGGACAAGGCAGTAGGCACCGCTGACCTTCCTGCCCCCACGGCTCTGGGCTGCTGAGGTTCTCAGAGTGCACAGGAAGCCAGCGTTCCAATGGCTTCAGGGTTCAGGGTGGAAAAGGAGGATTCAATAAGGACTCCCCAGTTGTCCCCCCGCCACCGCTTAGCTCTGCAATGTTCCTTCTTTTATCTGCTGGATAAAGAGGTTCCTCTCATCTTCCGGAGTCCGCCCATTCTGCGCCCGGACGATGCACGTGGGCCGGTGGAGGTTGAGCATGTATATCAAGTGCTGTTTCTCATTTTTCAACTCCTCAATCTGGGCCTTCAGCTCGGCATTCACACTCTCCAGCTTCTCTGACTCCTGAGGGACAATGGACAGAGGCATTATGGAGGGAGCCAAAGATCGGGGAGGTAGGAGGAACCACCTGGAAACCATGGATGGGGCTCATCAAGCTGGAGAGGCCTGCTGGGGGAACCATCCTACCCCAAAGATGGGAGGTCAGAACTAGGTGAGGGGTGGCACCAGCCCTGGAGAGGCCTCTGGAATTGGGGGTCATGTGGGCGGAGACTTGGAGATACCGCTGAGCCAGACTGCCATGCTTGCTGAAACTGCCTTAGTACTGAGGGCTGAGAGAGGGTGGCTCCAGTCGGTTCTCCAGGGCATCTGGGGAGCTGGGGAGAAATCCACACTGGTGGTGTAGTGTTTCCTCTGAATTTCTGATCCCACCAAGACTCTCATATCCACAGAGGTGTACTCAGAAACACAAAGCTTCCCAGGTTTTCACTGACCCTAAAGCAACAAGCAGAGATCCTAGGACCAGAGGCTAGCTCGAGTCTCTGCCAGAAGCTGGCCTGCACACACCCAGGGAGCAGAGATCCCGGAACCAGAGGCTAGCTCGAGTCTCTACCAGAAGCTGGCCTGCACACACCCCGGGGAGCAGACATGGGCCCTGTGGAGACGGGGGCCTGCCTTGCCTGTGAACCCATGCTGTGAACCCCTCATGTTCCTTGTGGGGTAACAGCCTGCCAGGGGACTCAAAGTGCTGGGTAAGCAGGGAGAAGGGAAACAAGATGGAGACCCAGGCAGGAACACAGTATAAGTACTGCTTCCAGGTTACCAGAGCAAGCTGAGGGTAAGAAAAGCTTTGCTTGAGAGTCATGGCAGTTGCAGGGTTTCATTGTTTTGTTCTATTTGGTGAAACTGGTGAACAAAGCCTCGTGAACCTGAAAGTCTGGACACTGCTGGGGGTATGTGTGCCACAGCGTGCATGTGGAGGTCGTCAGTCTTCTCCTTCCACAGTGGCTTCTGGGTATCGAACCCAGGTTGCTGGGCTTGCATGGCAAGCTCCTTGAAGCCAGCTTGCTAGCCCTGGATACTGAAGGTTTTCAACCCACAGATCTTCACTCTGTGTATCCAGAGTCCCCTGGATCATGCTCACAGCATTGCTCCTTCCTCTGCCCACAGCTGGCATTTCTGCACCACCCACAACCCCCTCCACCAACGGCACAAGGCTGATGAGGGCAGGTGTAGGCACCGTGCAAGGGGACGCTTGGCCAACACTCACTTTCTGCAGGCACTCGGTCTTCTCTTTCTTCTTGTTTCGACACTTGGCGGCTGCGATCTTGTTTCTTTCCCGCCGCCTCCTTTTCCTCTCATCTTCTTCAGGGGCCGCCTGCAAAACCCCACAGGCACACAGTAAGCCACCAGGAACCCCAAATACCAAGGCTGAGGGTATTTTGGTTTGGGGATCTTGTTTGTTTTTAATCACATATGCGTATGTTTGTAAATCTATGTTTGTCTGTGTGTATATCTACCACATGCATTCATGGTGCCTTCAGAGGCCAGAAGAGAGCGTTGGATCCCCCGGAGCTGGAGTTACAGGCTCCTGTGAGCCACCCAATGTGGGTGCTAGGAATGGGGTGCTGGGAACTCCAGTCCTCTGGAAGAGCAGCAAGTGCAGCAAGTGCTCTTAACCACTGACCCACTTCTCCAGCCTCATGGTCTAGATTTTTGTGTGAACTCCCTACATACACGTGCATGCACACACGTGAAAATAAATAACAAAATCTAAAATCAAAATTCCATTCATTAATAGAATTACATTTGAAATTAGTAAATTAAAGTATAATCTACTTTAAAAATGCATTTGGATTTTGAAAGAATTTCAATTTTAAATTGGTAACTATTGATACTAATTATAAGTGTGTCCTTTCCTCTGAGGCCAGGAATTACCTCCGATCACTCCCTGGCCACACTCTCCTGTTAGTAGTGCTGACTTGGGAAGTTATGAAACTTTTGGGGTGGGAGACATGGCCGGCGGAGGAGGGAGACATGGCCGGAGGAGGCGGGTCACATGACTGGCGGAGGTGGGAGACATGGCCGGCGGAGGCGGGTCATGGCACAAGGAGGGGAGGGTTGTAGTCTTAATCCACTTCTGAGCTTTGCTTTTTGAGCCACAAACATGTGCACAAGCTCCCACCACTGTGCACAAGCTCCCACCACTGTACACAAGCTCTCACCACTGTGCACAAGCTCCCACCACCGTGCACAAGCTCTCACCACTGTACACAAGCTCTCACCACCGTGCACAAGCTCTCACCACTGTGCACAAGCTCTCACCACTGTGCACAAGCTCTCACCACTGTACACAAGCTCCCACCACTGTGCACAAGCTCTCACCACCGTTCACAAGCTCCCACCACCGTACACAAGCTCTCACCACCGTACACAAGCTCTCACCACCGTGCACAAGCTCTCACCACTGTGCACAAGCTCACCACTGTGTACAAGCTCTCTCCACTGTACACAAGCTCTCACCACCGTGCACAAGCTCCCACCACTGTGCACAAGCTCTCACCACCATGCACAAGCTCTCCACTGTGCCCAGAACTTCCCCAGCCACCATGTCTTCCCCGTGTGATGGACTGTATCTGTCCCCTGAACTGTGAGGGGACACTTCCCCAAATGTCACCATTCAGTCACAGTGACAGGAAGATAACTAACATCTGTCTTTACCCGGAGCACGAGGGCACGCCCTTCCCATGAAGTCTGTGAGCTCCTGGAGCAGAGGGACTCGAGACCATTAATGGCACTAAAATGGTATTAGCCCACAGCTGGATGCTGCTGGGGGTAGTGCACTGAACCACCTGTCGATTCAGCCAACAAATCACACTGATGTCCTGGGCCTCATTCTGGGTCAATACTGGGGCTTTCAGAGAACAGATCCCTGTCCAGCTTTGGGGAGTGCGGACCTCCATGGATGTCCACCCAGACCCGACTCAGTCTACGGACTGAGGAGCAATGGCCACATCTGGCCACTGAGCTCTGCTTAAGGCCAAAGTCCATGGTGGGCTGGCCGATGTCAGACCCTGTCAGCTTTAGGGGGCCATGACTGACCCACTCTGACCTTTCCCTATTCTTTTGGACCAGAAGACACTGACCGTGGATCGAGATGGAGGTCTCGCAATCTAGAGAAGCAAAGCTCAAGAGAGAATAATGGAAGAGGAGTTTCTGTCTTTCATATCTCAGGGCCACAGACCCAGTAAATACAACACACACACACATACACACACAGACACACACACAGACACACACACACACACACACACACACACACACACACACACACACACACACACAGATGTGCATGGTGGGTGCACAGAGAGATGGCTCAGTGGTTAAGAGCGCTTGCTGCTCTTGTGGGGAATTTGGGTTTGGTTCCCAGCACCCACATGGTGGCTCACAACTGTTAACTCTGGTTCCAGGGGACCCAAAACCCTCTTCTGGCCTCTGTGGGTACCAAGCATGCACACAGTGCACATACATTCATTATTCTTCTCCAGAGACTCTCCAACTGTCCTGCCCTGTCCATCTACATGTCTATCTAGCCTCCCTACCCCCCGCCCCTTTTCCTACTACTGTATCTTGTTATTTCAAACTATATCATTTGGGGAAAAAAAATCTCCCAGAATGTCCCAGACACTCTCCAGTACTGGACTTGATACCTGCAACTGTTTTGTGGTACCCTCTCTGACCTCCTCCGAGTTAGCTGGGAGCACAGCTAATACCCCCAACGGCATCCATGGCAACAGCATCATAAATAATGCCTGTTCCCATTCATTGGATGCTGTGAGCCAGGTTCCCCTCAGACCTTCCACAAATGTCAGTCCTCGGCAGGAGAAATCAAACAGTCATGATTTATCCTGGATGCTAGAGATCAAACCCCAAACCTTACACTCACGGCTGAGCTGTGACCCCAGTCCTCAGCCTCCTTTTAAAGGCACAGCTTTTGCACCAGCTTCACCCCGAGCCCCAGGGCTGCAGTCACACACATAAGTAAGCCTGAACTATTCCCAACCCAGAAAGGCTAACAGAGGTGCAAGAGTTCATCTCTGATGCTCTTGAAGCAGCAAAGTCACCAGCAACCACGGCTCAGTAACCAAGTCTGTTATTCCAGGTGTCTTATGGGAAGATTGCTCAACACAGAACAGTGCATGTGCATGAGTGGGTGTGAGCCCAGAGCAAACACATGGTACCCCAAGTCTGTGGGCATTGTTGCCAGCGAGAGGAGGGCTAACCTCCTGGTCCTTGGTCCCGACGGTGATGAAAACACCATCAGACTCCACTTCTTGGAAAAGACTCCACACTAAACCCACATCTTCAAGCACCTGCTCATTCGTGTGTTCTAGGCTCTGTCCCACTATCCTTACACAACAGAATTGAACTCCCCAAGGGCAGTGCTTTTGTTGATTCTTTTCCCCGGCTCTAGCCTCCTGCATGCGCTGGCACATGGAGTGTGTGTGATAGACACGTATTTTGAGAATGGATGTGTGTTGGCGGGACCCACCTCCGATTTCGTGACTGACGTCTCCAGGGGTCTGTTGTTGACGGTAACTGACTCCAGCGCAGAGGACATCCGGTGGTACAGGTGCTTATTCTGGATGGCGAACCTCAGCTCTTCCTTGACAAAGGGTGTCAGGTTAGCAAAATCCTCAAATACCAGGGATCCAGGAGGTGAGAGGCAGGGGACGATGGCCGATGCACTGACTTCTGAGGCAGAGACCTGGCCTGGATGTTGAAGCATCATTTTGCTGAAAGAAAAAATTAAGCCCAAACTGCTTCAGGGGTCCTGGGGCATGGGATGCAACCGGGCCAAAGTGCAGCCCACCCCAAAGTCCCATCAGCCCCTGGGCTTCTGGTTTGTTTCATTTCATGCCCGTCTCTTGTCCATGGCTGGAGAAATTATGGGATTAAGGGAGAACATATTACTGTTGTTTGGCTAAGTGAACATGTTGTCAAACTGTCTCCTAAGTATTTATGTGCATCCCCTGACCAGTGCTGTCCTCAACCCTGGCCAGCTTCGTCCTGCGGCACTTAACGCTGGCTGGGCAATGTACTGAGAAGAGGTGGTTGTCAAGTGGTCTGTTCTAAACAGGTGCCCCACCACACACACACACACACACACACACACACACACACACACACACACACAGGAAGAAGGGGAAAGCGTTGTGAACTGCTGCTTTCTGGACATGACATGGCTGTGGTTACCTGCAGAGGACCCTGTAAGATTGAGCCTATCAACATTCCAGCATGGATTAGGTCCCAGCTTGAGGTCCCAACCCTAACCTAGGAGCTGTTAGCAGTGAACCCCTGCTGGTGAAAGGGGTCACTTAAATGCAGTCCTGTAGTCACAGGTTAAGTTGCCCATGCTCCAGTAACTAACCCCAGAGCCATGCTCACGAAAGCAACGCTAATTAACGTCAACAGACCACCAAAAATTTTTTTTCATGCTATCCTCATTGTGAATAAAACAAATTCTTAAAACACACAGCTCAAAGATGACTAAAAGTTTGAGAGGGCTGACTTTCCAAGGTCCTCTTCTATTTGTTTGCCTGGTATACAGAGGATACAAATGTGGCCTCAGTCCCCCAAGAGAGAAAAAAAAACAAAACAAACAAACAAAAACATTAAAAACCAAACACCAGCACCTTTTGGAATCCCGTTTTTAGTCTCTTTTTAAAAAAGAAACTGGAAAGACACCTGAAATCAAGACAAATCTGCCAGTGAGTGGAAGTAGAAGCAGGAAGTTGGGGCCTTGAATTCCACGACTCTGTGGCGGAAGTTTCTCCCGCAGGAAGCTGGGCCAGGGAGTGGGAACGAGGAAGCTGGGTGTGTTTCTTCAACCCAGTCCTTGGCAGGGGGTGGCAATGGTGGGAACTCAGGTCCTTTGGGAACAAGGAGCCCCCTTTTTAATGAGAAGGTGGCAAAGCAAAGACTTCCGGGCAAGCCAAAGGGAAAGGGAGAAGATCTGGGTTTATGGGGTGTTGTTTCCTCTGAGGTACAAGGAGAGAGGCTTGGGACAGGGGGTCCTGGGATGGGCCTGGTCACAAAGGAGCAGGCCGTTCAGACTGTAGGACTCAGTCTTCATCTGGAAACTGGCTCAGAACAACCCAAGCCAACAAACCACTGCGGAAACGCTGTCCCCGAGCCGGGCCCAGCACTGGCCCGCGATGCCTGCTGACCAGGTGGACAACTGAATAAACAAAGTGGGGATGAAGTAGTCCTACCAAACGGCCCCCTCATTCTACAGGCCTGCAAAGCCACAGGGTCACCAAAGGGAAGTCAAGGGCAGAAGCAGTCTGGAAAAACACCCTCACATCGTCTGCTTTCCCAGCGGGGACTCCCACCCTTCCCGAAGCAGGAGCAGTGAGTGAGCAGAAACAGAAGGACTGCATTTGCCTACAGTGGTCAGTCAAGTCCCAGAGGACAGGAAGTCTTTCAGCAAACCTCCCACGTTAAAGGAAAACCTATCTACCTGTCTCCTTTGATGCTGTTAAACCCGGTCCCATGTACATGAGTTAACTGAGGTTACGTTAACGCGGGACAGTACCGGGCACGGGGATTCGTTTTGCTTGGCTGCAGAACTCATGGCCTTAATTCATACGCTGCATACCCGAATATTTTACTTCACTCAACAACAAACAACAAACAAACAAACAAAAACCCAGAGCAAAAGTTTGGAGGGTGAGTGGAAGCAGACAGGAAGTCCAGAAAGAAACCGTGGCGGGGGTACTAAGCAACAATTCCCAGGGAACCCCTGAACTCTGTTCAAAGAATCGCTAGTCTTTTTATATCGGGTACACACTCAGCTACTGCCTGCATCCAGGTGTAAGTTTAAATGGGCTGTTTTATCCATAAAATTCCCAAACCAGTACTAGAAGAAAAAAAAAATAAGATTTGGAAACCACTTAGTTATGTGTTGTGACTATCCCCCAGTGGCTTCTTTTTCCTCCCCAAAGGTAGGCTGTTAACAAGTACCCCATTTCCCCAAGAGTGGTGTGAGGGACTAAGAAAATCATGGGGCCCTGGAAAACATCCGTGCCACCAGGAGCGACACCAGTCCTCCGAGGATCTCCTGCAGAGGGCTGGCTGCTCTCCCGTGGAGACTCAGTGGGGTCTGTTGGGTCACCTTTTCTGATGTTAAATGCTCCTCCCAAGGGTCCCTGTCGGTGGAGATCTAAGGCCCACAGGTGGAGGCAGAAATTCCAGACCAGCAAAGGCTGCCCTCCACTAGCCAGAAGAACTCAAGAAATGCATACAATTCTCTCCCAAACAGCAGGCGCCGAGACTGAAGGTCCCTTCACTGACTCCTGTCAACTCTGTTCCTCTGGCTTCTGAAGCCAGAGGCTCAACATCCTCCCAATCACCCTCACTTCCCCCTGCTTTCCAGTTTTACTCAAAACAAAGCAAAACAACCAGCTAAGGGATGGAATTCAGAGCTGCCACTGGCCTGGCCTTCGTTTGCAGGACTGGATGGCTCATCTGCACTTATAGTCTGAGCCACAGAAGTTGAGTTCGTCCCTTTAGACACCCAGCTAAGTTTCCTAGTGAGCGCCTGGGGCTTAGAGTCTGCTGTCTGGGACTTTCCCCCATCCTCCTTAGAGTAAAGACAGGAAGAAACCGAGGAATGTCAGTGGTATGGAATGCTTTTGTGAAAAGCTGGGGGTGGGGCTTACTTGGGGACACAGCGTATAGTAAAGTTGTCAAGAAAGCCTTTCTGGTAATCAGGTGGCTCCATCTGTAAAGATTCCGGCTCCTGTTCTTTCTGGTTGTCTTGGATAGTCACCTCCAGAGAGTCAGCCTAGAGTCAGGCTGTGTCCTCCAGGGAAACAAAGTCTAAATCTTGGGCTTGTTTTCAGGGGCCCTCTACCACACCCAGCATAGCAAAGAGGGAGAGCTGAGTGAACTCTCTACACTGACCATAAAACTGTCTTCTGGATTTGCTTCAGGACTGGCGTTCTGTTTCTGCTTCATGACTTCCAATCAGAAACTCTGTCATATCGTTGGCCACATCATTTTCAAGAAAGTGAAACTTCACTCATTTATTTAACTAGAAATTCAGCTCCTCGATTTTTATTTCCGAGTAGTTACGATGGCTTTGAAATTTCACTTTTGATTTCCACTTCCTTCCACGGAGCCAGCTGCAAGCCAACCTGTTAGCAGTCTAGTCGGGAGTGGGTAGCCGCCTTTCCCTGGCTCTCCACAGCCTGTCTGTCTCCTGCTTGCGGGCCGGGGGTGCAAGGCTGAGCTTCAGGGTCAGTGACTTATCTCCAGGTCTCTGGCTGCCACCCACTAGCTGACCACCCACTTGGGAGCTGGAGGCTCTCTGACCTTCAGAACCTATCTGAAAACTGTGAGTGCGGTTGCCAATACCCTCCCCGGGCTGTGAAGAAAAACACATCACACACACATACTTGAAAACATAAGAGATCGTCACCCACACACACATTCGGACTCCACCTTCCCCTACAGAGAAGCTGATTTGGTTGCCTATTCAGTGTAGTTCTATTCGTGGGGAACTGACTGGAACCCTGAGAATTTCAGGTCGATCTGTCACAACGGTATATGGTCCTGAGTTCCCGAGACACCAGGTAATTTCCACTCCACTATTGCTGACATCAGCACTTCTCCATTGCTGTTGTGTTCTTCAGAGATTTCGAGTTTTCACAAGAAATCATTTCTCTCTTGAAGTTTCTGTGGTGTCCTGGCCATGTCCCTCCTGCCCTGGCTGGATTACCCTGGAGCCAGTTCCTTAAGGAATCAATCACACAGGCTCTGGCTAAAGGTGCCTGTCAGAGGGACCCAGCCTTAGAATTGTCTAGATCAGATCCTCATTTTGTCCTCATTTAGTAAACTGAGGTCCAGGAAGGGAAGCGATTTGCCTAAACTCACAGAGCTGGAGGGTGGTCCAGTCCAGCCAAGTGGCTGAAACCACGTTCTGCCACCCATCAGTTCAAGACAGCAACCATAGGCAGAGCTGTCAGCCAGGTCAAGAGTCCCACACCTGGAACCTTCACAGAGGAGGCTTTGACAGACAGGAAGGGGTCACATAAGAAACGGGTGTGCAGAGAAGGGATTTAGATGGTCACAGACACTGGGTGCTCTTCTCCACCTGGTCAGCAACCTCTGAAACCTCAGATAGAAACAACCGCAACCTCCGCCCCCAGGCAAGAGCCTGTCTGTGGTAACATTATCCCACAACAAATGCTACATGCAAAACATGTGCTCCCTTGATGACACATGCCTGTAATCTCAGCACTTAGGAGCTGAGGCTGGAGGATTGCTATGAGTTTGAAGGGAGCCTGGGTTACATAGGGAGACCCTGTCTCAAAAAAGCCAAACAAGGAAGAGGGAGAATAAAAATTTTTAAATAATTGAGCTTGGCAATTCCTTTAATTTATGAGAACGCCTGCGATCTACATAATTAATTTAAGGAAAATAAAATGGCTAGGAGGAAAATTTAAAAATGGGATTTGAAAATGAGAGTGGGGTCGGAGCAGAGAACCGACCGAGGGAAGAAAGATAGGAGGCAGGGATGGCGAGGGAGCCCCTTCCCTTCCTGCCTCAGAGAATGGTTAGTAACACCGGGTGGGAAGCCGTTCTCTCAAGATCCCTTCCTGGCTCCTTGTATTTCCGTTATTTCACTCTAAAAACTGAAAATCTTCAGTCGAAACCTGGCCATATGAACCACACAGCACACGGTTATCTCAGCACTTGGGAGGCTGAGGCAGGGGGATCACCAGGAGTTTAAGGGCAGTCTGGATTACAGAGTGAGACAACTCCCAACACAACACACATATACAACAAACAACCCCCAACACACACACACACACACACACACACACACACACACACACACACACGCTTGTGCAAGTGGTTCCACACCCTGGTCCCTCCACCCGTTCGATCCAGTCCCCGAGGTTCTCTTCGACTACACAAAGCAAAGAAATCCAAGCACCGGTTAAAAGAAAGCCAGAGCCACAGCAACGGCGAGAGAGGCTGGAGCTGACGTCCCAAGCCCAGCCGCTGGACTTCAGCGGGTGCCGAGACCTCTCCGCACTCCGCCCCGGGGCAGCGCGATACCAGCGCTCGGCGCCTCCAAACTAATCCCAACTCACTTTCGCTCGCAGCTCTCTACGCGGTCCCGCCGCCTAGAGCTCCGCTCTCGGGAGCGCAAGGCGACCTCCAGCGGCTGTGCCGGGACCTCGGACCGAGCGTTCCTTCCCCATTCATTTCGCTCGGTCCCGGGAGCAGCGCTTCCACCAGCCGCGGCCACCGCGCCTCTCTGCGGAGTCAGGAGGGACCGGCTCCGGCTCCGGCTCCGGCGTCCGGACAGCAAGTGAGGGACGGAGTGGACCGCGATCTCTAGAGTGTGGGTCACCCCCGAGTACCAGCACCCACCACCCACCCAGACGATCTCTCTCTCCTAGCTACAGGCTGAGAGCGCGCGAACTCCTCCGTCCCTGGGCATCTTTCACGCCTCAAAAGAGAAAGTTCGTTCTTTCACTTTACTAGAAACTTTATCTCAACTCGGAGCGGCAGCGCCAAGGAGCAGTTCAGCTGAGCGATTGTAGCGCGGGAGATTAGGGCTCCAGTCCCGGGTGGCTCAGGGGTCCCGGGACTGGTCACTAGAGGGGAGATGAGAAGGGAAGGGCGGCTCTCCACCGCGTAGCTCTAATGCTCACCTCCAGTCTCCGCTCGGGGCGGCCAGGGTCCAGAGAGCGGCCAGAGGCGGGCGGTGTGTCCCGCCGGCGGGCGAGCACCACGGACTCAGTGGGAGCGCGGACTGGCCGGGAGGCTCCGCCGGGGAAGCACCGTGCCCAGCGCGCCTCGCAGAGTGAGACTGTGGCTGAGAGCGCGTTGCATCACCCCTTTTATAGCCCTCGCGCTGGCAAGGCGCTCGCTTAACTCCAGGTTACCAATCCCAGGCTGACGTAATGCTATTAATAGCTTCCAGGGAAAACTGGCCAGAGGAGGGCCGAGGGCGGGGCTAAGGGTGGGTGGAGACCGCGGAGTTGGTGATGCAAGTGCGAGAAGGGGCGGTCACCGAGCGTCCTGCGCGCCTCGCACGCCCGGGACACACACACACACGCCCGCCCTCTTTCTCCATATCAGGCCCGGAGTCGCCCGGGCGCACCGCCAGTTGTGCGTATTCGCCGCTGCGTGTTCCAGGCATGAGCCAATGGTGCCCAAGCCAGAGGCATGACTCCACCGCCCTGGCATCTCTCCCTCTGCTAGGTTGGGGAAGGGGGAGGGGTGCTCGGGAGGCGGGTCCTGGCGGTGGCCCAGACTAGGTGAAGCTGGGAAGCGGGCACGACCTTTCTCAAAAATGCGTGGTCATTTTTCTAAAACTTCTGGAAAAAAGCGCCTTCTCTGGCTAGCGGCTTGGCTCAAGGAGGGGGCAAGGACGGGGGAGAGGTGACAATCTCCCGCGTGAAGTAGGTGCCCAAAGTTACCCTCCGGTGAATCCACACCGTTACCCGCCTGTGTGACCTCCGCCGCCGCGGGCCCCGCTAGCAGCCGTGGGTTAACGCAGACGTTGGGCGGGCCTCGTGCTCCCACGCCCGCGCCCCCTGCACACGCAGGAGCCTCCAGACTCGCTAGGAACCGGAGCTGCTAGTGATAGGACGCTGTCAGTTTGGTTTGGGGTTTTTAGTAACAACCACAAAACATTTTAAATGAACAGGGAATTCTCAGCGAAAGCAAGAGGAGGAAAGATCTGGGGCGATCAGAGGCCACCCAGCGCAGGGCTAAGGAGGGTTGGGGCAAGACGGCTGGGGAGCCTGGGCAAGAGGACGCTCTGATCTTCACGCGCCCGGCCTTGGCAGAGGTGGGGAACAGGGGGTCCTCCTGGATGTCAGGAAATGTTCAGAAAAAGACCACCTCCAGGTTTCTAGTTTCTGTCTGCAGGGACAGAGAGCTGTGCTGAGACCCTGCCACCCGGTTCAAGTCGGAACTTAGAGCCCTCTGTCCTCAAATCTGGTGGCGGGAAAAATGGGACGTAGGGCTTGAGTTTCAAGCGGAGACCTCGGCAGAACTGGGTCTGAACCTTGAAAACAGGTTCCTGGTTCTGAGCCAGTAATTCCGAAGGTCTCGGCTGAGAGCAATACCCCGGGTGGGTCTCTCTAGCTCACCAAGGGCTAGAGGAGCGCACGAATGCGGCCCAGGACTCGCACACCTGCCCGGGAAGCCTGCGGGCACACACATGGGGCAGGACGCGGAGATGCAAAGACAGAGGCACCTGCTAACACCTGCCTTTGAAGGCGATCAGAAGGTCACAGAGTGGTTGTTTAGGATCAGTAGCGGAATTGTCCCGGTGCCGCTGCCCCCATAGCACCTGCCACCTGGATTGTTACAGTCGTAAGGGCAAGTCTCAGTCTCTCTCTTACACACACACACACACACACACACACACACACACACACACACACACACACACACCGGCGTTACACCCTAAGGAACTGATGTCCCTTGAGACAGACACTTTGGACAGAATCAAGTTCTCTGCACCCGGGTTCCTCCAGTCCAAGCCAGAGCCTCGCCCTTCACAGGCCCCTGCCCTGCCCTCCAGCGAGGCCCCCTGAACTCTCTCCGCCCCCGCCAGCCGGGAAAGCCTGAGGTGGTTCCATCCCGGGGATCCTCGTAGATCCTGCCAGGATCTGACGCGATTGCAGTAGTGTGGCGCGGGAAGCGCCGGGCGGGTGTTTTGCTTTGGTTTTTGCCTTGGTAACGGCTCTCGGGGCCACACCCTCCGTCTCCCACGCCCACACCCTGCTCCACACCTCCACGGCCCGCCCTTCAGCCGACCTGCAGGCAGGTAAACCCCGGGCGTGTCGGCACAACCCCGAAGAATGCGAGGTGCCTAGAAATGAAAGTCACTTGGGATCTCCACTTATCCGTCCCAGCTCTGTACAGACTGCCCTCGAATAAACAGCACCACTGTACCGTGAGACAAGGAGATGGGGGGACACACGAAGCACCGCCCCCCCAGCTGATGTGAACCCCTACAGAAATCCTTAACTGTTCTACGGATTAAACTGCGGTTCCATTAATACCCGAGCCAGACTGTGGAGGTCGGTCCTGTCCTCAAGGGGAAGACCAGCGCCCTCGGAACAGTGGAAGGGTCTCGTGGACCGACAAAGTCCGCAGAACGCGGAGGACACCTTGTGGTGCTCCCACCCAGTCTTTCTGCTGTTCTAACCATTAGCTTTCAATCTCCAAGTCGCACCTGGATGGAAACGCTCTCAATTGTTTACAGAGCTCCGAGTCTGCCATCCTCCGCCTCCCTCTCCTACTGAAACCCTAAAAGCGATAAGACTCTCCAGGGAGTAGTCTGCCACCCCCACTTCCCCAACTTGAATGAAACTCCTATCCCAGGCAAACAAAAGCCACTTTCTGCCTGCCTGGGTCCCCTGGGCTCCCGGGAGACTCGTAAGCGGCTGAGAAAAACGGAAAGGAAGAGCCCCCCCACCCAAGATTTGGGCCAAAGGAACTCGTCAACATCTGAGTCCCCTCGCTCCTCAGTTTACCCTGACTTGATGTCACTAGTGTCTAGCGTGCTCACTCTCCCCACAAACACGGTAGCGCCACGTAGAGGGGCATGGCAAGCTCCGGCACCCAAATCGCTTGCAGACACAATGGCAAAGGAATGCCTCTCCAGCCCTGTAAGAGCTGTAAGCCCTGGCTAGCGTGATTTCAGGGGTTAATCCTCAGTCAAAGAGGGTTATGCGGAAACTTGAATGTTGTGGAAGTTTTCGCCAGAGAACCGCCCGCCGGGGGAGCCCGTATGCAGATCCGCTCCGGTCTGTTTTGCTGAGTGAGATAAGAATCGGAGATTTCATGCTGGGGCATGTACCAAAGGAAGAGGGAAAATTAAAAGGGGAGGGGAAGGAGCCAGGCAGCTAAAAACAGTCCCCTCGTGGCAACCAAAACTAAACACAAAAACATTGCAAGGAGCCAAAAGCAAAAAAGGAAAAGTTCAGAGATATTTAAAGGTTTTTGCAGTTCAGTGGGCGATCCCTTTCCACATTCCTCTGCCTCCTTAACTATGTTCTTCAGACTCCGAGGCTGTATTTGCTCAGAGAACTCTAGAAACGAGTTACCATATCCAGGGCAGCTTGAGTTGACCGCCTGGCCTGTCTGTACACGGATCTCGACCTCACTTCTTCACTTGGAAAGGGAGAGGGGAGGGTTTTTTCCCCAGCCCGTGCTCTTGGCCAAGTTGAATGTGGGAACTACTAATTTAAGTCTCTTAAAGTACATCCTCAGGAAAAGAGGCCGCACACAGTGGGAGCTGAAGTGTGGGAGGCCCTGACTGGAGTGTGGATGCTGCACTTAGCCGCCATGTCCCCTCGGTAGTCCCACTCATTTCATCTCCAGGTTTACGTCTCCCCCTCACTGAAGAAAAAAAAAAAAAAAGACCCACTGAGAATGAGGCACACAGTCAGAGTCTTTAATTGTGGATTTCTTTTTGGGGTACCCTCTGTCCCCTTCATTAGTGAGAAGCTGAGGATGGTATCTGATAACACCTCACGACAATCATGAGGGGGGCTAGGATGAGATCCCCTTCCCCCCAGAAGCAGCAGGAGTTGTAAGGAGTAGAAAGCCTTGTTCTCCATCCATCACAACTAGTCAGACACTGGTGCTGGAGGATGGAGGCAAGACACCCTGGGCTGGGCTGGGGGTTCCAATACCCTTCTAGTTCTGCCTTTTTTAACTTGAGAAAGGTAGGTCCTCTTTCAGGGCTTCCACTTGTTGTTATGGAGGCCCCTGGACTGGACTAGGAGGGTCCTGAATGGAGCCTCTCCTCCCCAAAGCCACCCAGCTGCCTTGGAGACCTGTGCCAGGCGAAGAGCTGGCTCTGGGGAAAGCTGTTGCACGGGACGCGACTGACCCACTTTGCAGTCTCATTTCTCTAGAAAGTACGGCTGAGAAGTGCTGTCAGATCTGGTCCTCAGACACAGCCTGTCCTCTCTCCCCCCAGTCACTGTCAATGTCTCTAAAATCTTAACCCATGTGGGTACCCAGCCAGAGGGGAGCTCACCATAGCGCCGAGGCAGGGACTGCATCTTTTGAGGACATCTTGCATATAGACATGAACTTTGGAGCAAATCTAGGTAGCAGCTATTCCCTCTTATGAGAGCAGATCCTGGGGCCCTAGAAACCTGAGATGAGGTTGTAGAAGCTCCAGTGTTAGCAGGACAGAGCAGGTCTGAGACGTCCACAGGTGGACCTCCAGCAACTGGGTAAGTTTGCAAGTCATAAACATACTATCTCAGCTTGCCAATCCACAGACGGTTATTCAACATTAATGCCCCTTAAAGCATTGGTATAAAAATCAGATGACATAATAATAGATGTGAAAGTGAGTTAAAAACAGTTTTAAAAGCTATACTGACAGGCTCATAGCTGGACATGGCAGTACATGCTTGTCATCGGAACACATGTGGGACTGAGAGAGAAAAGGCAGAAAGTTTGAGGCCACCTTGTGATGTACAGCCCTTGGACATCAGCCCGGGCTCCACAGCAAGATTCTGTCCCTAAAAACAAAAGCAAGCTTCTCTTACAATAATATTTTTGCCATTATGAGAATTAGGGGGAAAGACAAGAGAAAAAAAACATACCTATAATCTCAGACTATCAGTATTGTGACGTATCTTTCTGGCTTTCCCCCTCATACATATGGTTTTAAAACATACTCATGGTTTTATATTTGCAACTTCAGACCTGTTCTTTTGCTTATCACTGGAGAGTGCATGGTGTTTATTGCCATCATTTTTTTTTCTGCTTAAAAACATGTTCATTTTATTGTAAGACAGAGCACACATACTGATGTTTCATAGAACAAATATATGTAGATTTAAATAATAAAATATACTGAAGATTGCCATCCTGTCTAAGAAGTAGATTGCCACCTCCAGTGTTTAGAAGCCTGCAAATGGCCCTACTGACATCATCTGCCCCTGCCTCCCAATGGGACCCTCCCAAAGGGAACCACTGCCCTGGTTCATTCCTGTACTCTGTAGGAGCTCATGGGTGTTGTGTAACTTACTCAGTTGTTACCCTACGTTTAGTATCTAGGGTGCTATCACCATTTTACTAACACACTAGACAAACTTCAGTCTTTTTTATGGGAAAAAAAAAAAAACCAACTGCCGCTTCACTTGGGTTGCTTAAATGGAATTAGGAAAGGGCCTTGGTTCTATCTTCAAGTGCTACATAGACTGGAAGGGAGAAGGACCCCAGGAGCCTGAGACAACCTGCATCCTCCCTCTTTTGGTAACATCCAGAGAAAAAAACCTGCAGGCTCTTTTTCCATGGAGAATGGCCTTTAACCCTTCCTTGCTCTACTATCAAGATTCCCTTGATAATCTGTCTGCGCGCTATGGAAAAGGAAATCTAGTCTGCAGCATGAGAGGATGATGATGGGCTTCTAGAACCGCCTGGCACTGTCTCTGCCT